GTCCTGCCGTTCCCCGGGCCGTTGCTACGGTTTCTGGGACCTTCGTGGGGCGCCCTGAGGCCGTCGTGGAGCCTTCTGGAGAGTCTCTTGGGGTGCCAGAGGTCGATCTTGAAGGTTTACTCGGCCGTTGTGGGCCTCGTGGAAGCCCAAGAAGCGAATATGCTGAACATGTTCGTTTTCCCTAAGGAATGGGACGGCTTTTGCTTCTGGAGGCCTGCTTGGAGCGCCTCGTGGTCGCGTTTTCAAACGTCTTGGACACCCATGGGGCCGCCTGGCGGCGGTCTTGGGCGGTTTGGACCGAATCGTCCCCCGCGTGGGCCGTCCGGACAGCCTTTGGGAGCCCTCTTGCCCCGTTTTGGAGCCCTCCTGGGACCGTCCTGTGGCTTTCCTGGGCCGTTGCTATTGTTTCTGGGGCCTTCGTGGATCGCCCGGAAGCCGTCTTGGAGCCTTCTTGGGAGCCCCTTCGAGTGACACGGGTCGATCTTGGAGGTGTACTGGGCCTGTGTAGGCCTCGTGGAAGCCCAAGAAGCGAATATGCTGAACATGTTCGTTTTCCCTCAGGAATGGGACGGCTTTTGCTTCTGGAGGCCTGCTTGGAGCGCCTCGTGGTCGCGTTTTCAAACGTCTTGGACACCCATGGGGCCGCCTGGCGGCGATCTTGGGCGGTTTGGACCGAATCGTCCCCCGCGTGGGCCGTCCGGACAACCTTTGGGGGCCTTCTTACCCCGTTTTAGAGCCCTCTTGGGACCGTCCTGCGGCTTTCCAAGCCGTTGCTATGGTTTCTGGGGCCTTCGTGGATCGCCCAGACGCCGTCTTGGAGCCTTTTTGGGAGGCTCTTGGGCTGGCGAGGGTCAATATTGGAGGTTTCTTGGGCCGTTTTGCGCCGCGTGGAAGCCGATTGGGCGAATGTGGCGAGAATGCACGTTTTCCCTGAGGAATGGGACGATTTTTGCTTCTGGAGGGCCTCTTTGGGGCGCCTCGGAATATTGTTTCAAACGTCTTGTACTTATGGAGCCGTGTAGAGGCAATCTTCGGCGTTTTGGGGCGGTCTGCTGTCGAATCGTAGACCTCTTGGACTGTTCCGGGAACCTTTGGAACCTTTTTGGCCCGTTTGGGCCGCCTGAGGCTCCAAGTGTGTGGATGATTGACTTGCCCCCCCCCCCTCCCCTCCAAACCGGCCGGACCAGGCCCCCGGGGGAGGGGTTTGGGGATGGGGAAGCATCTCACACGCCGTGACCCCAAGGGGTCGGCGGATATTTGACCATTCTTGAGTATTGTTTGTCTATTTTTATTTGTTCGTCGAACATCCGCCTGTAGGGGGCGAACTACACTTACATGGATTGGCATGGATTTGTCTGCATTTACCGGCTCGGTCCTCACAGGGCCAAGAGAAGTCGTCAGAACGAGTATCTAACACACCAGCAGCTGAGGCATCGCAACAGGCGGCGGGTGCTCGGCTTTCTTGCAGCTCGTGCAGAGCACAAGCGGCAGCACTGGCAAAGTTGGGAGGGGGTGAGGCCGCTCTGGATCAGTATCGCTTAGCTTATCCGTCTCCCCACCAGGCCGTTGTATCCCAGCCCCGCCATCCCACCATCCCAGATGGGGAAAGGCCCGCAGCCTATATCCCCATCTCGGGGGTAAACGGGCCAGTGTGGCGCAGGCCACGCCAGTGGGCTGAAAGAGCTCCCTGGGGCCTCCCAGAACGCGCTGTGAGCGACCCGGAGCGCTCCGGGGTGGCCGCGCCCCCAGGCACGTCTTCCGAGCCCGCCAGCCTTCAGAGCCACACGATCCGTCCCCGTCCGAGTCTGTCCTCCTCCTCCAGCCACGCGCAGAGGGGGGTGGGGGGAGGGGGGACGGCTTCTTAGAAGCATCCCTGCTTCTTAGAAGGCGCGGGCCTTCTCTGTAGATGTCAGCCTCCTTCTAAGAAGCCCTCCCCCCTCCCGCCACCCCCTTTTGCGCGCCGCCAACTCCTGCTGTCGTCTCACCCAGGAGGCAGTCCAGGCGGTGCCAAGGCGTGGCGCGGGGGGGGGTGCGGGCGCCTGCGAAGGCGGGGGCTTCGCAGGAGGCGGAGGGCCTCCTTGGAAGGCCCAGGAGGCCGCAGGCGAAGCGTCTTACAAGCTGGGCGGGCTTCCGAGCAGCCCCCCCCTTCTTCACGGCGCCGCCGCCCTCTCACGAGCCCACCCCCTTCGCGCCGCCCCTCGTGGGCGCCGCAGACAGTCCAGGCTGGCCCCAGCGAGGTCCGCAGGAGGAGGAGGAGGAGGAGGAGGAGGAGGAGGAGGAGGAGGAGGAGCAGGAGGAGGAGGAGGAGCAGGAGGAGAGCAGGAGGAGGAGGAGGAGAGAGGAGGAGGAGGGAGGAGGAGGAGGAGGAGGAGGAGGAGGAGGAGGGAGGAGGAGGAGGAGGAGGAGGAGGAGGGAGGAGGAGGAGGAGGGAGGAGGAAGAGGAGGGAGGAGGAGGAGAAGGAGGAGGAGGGAGGCAGGCCCCCCCCTCCCTTCGCATCTGGGGCGGCGCTCCCCCCTCGGGCGCTCGGCGCCCTGGGCCTGGGGCGCCGTGGAGACACCCTGGGCTTCCCCCGGAGGCCCTGTGCGGCCAGCCTGGGCCCAGAGACCTATATTCTGGAGGGGAAAAAACACACGGACACAATTAATCGTCGGTTCCCCAGAAAATATGGGAAAATATGGGAAGTGGGGGGGGAGGACAAAACCCTGGAAAATAGGAGAAAATATGGTGCATCTTTTTATTTGTGTGTATTTATTTGTGTGTCCCAGGGCCCCTTCATATGTCGGGGGTGGATAGACCTCCTACCCTGACACGTCGATTAGCGAATCGGCCGTTTTCGCTTCGCGAGGGGGCGTCGCGGCCGTCATTTTTGCTGGTCCAGGTCCGTCGGTTTCGGTCCCGGGCCGTTTTCACTAAGGGGAGGTTTACTAAAGAGAGGTTTGTCCACCCCGACTTTTTGACCATTCTTGCACATTTGAAAAGTATGCTTGGGATACTTTAAATTTTTATCCAAAATCGGCCTGCAGGGGGACAGGCCCCTAGGTGTTGGCACCACAGTATCGGTGGCGGCCTCCACCGCGGGAAGCCGATCCTGAGCTCGGCGATGGTGCCAACATTCGGACTTCTCAGGTTCACGAGAGATTGCCGCGAGCAGCGAGAGCCAGGGTCACCTTCCCCGGTGGAGGCATCCCGCTGTTTTGGTGCTGGTGCCGCCGGACCCCCAATGGACTGCCTCTTGGAAGCTGCCTGTAGGCAGCCACAGCTCACACCAGCACTTGTGCAAGCACCCGCGAGCACCTCTCTCCAGTGACCCCGCTGAGTCGGCGTGGACTTTTTGTTGTGGCGCAGACTGTGCGGCAAGGAGGGCCCGGAGGGCCCCCTGAACCCTATGAGGTACGGCATGAAAGCGCCACGTCGCACTTCCTCCTCGTCTCCACCCCATCCTCCAATGTCATGCGGGATCCACAAAAAGATGAGCGCGACCCGCTTGCCTGCGAGCTGTGGGGATGAGAGAACGAGAGGAGTGGGAGCAGGCAAGGAGGGAGTGAGGGGAGCGACGGCAGGAGATGAAGAGGGAAGGTCTGGGAGGGAGGGACACCCGAGGAGGAGAGATGGGGGGGAGAGGATGAAGCAAGAGAGAGAGAGAGAGAGAGAAACAAAAAAAGAGAGAAAGAAAGAGAGAGAGAGAGAGAGAAAGAGAGAGAGAGAGAGAGAGAGACACTGGGTGGAGTGGAGAGGAGCTGGCCAGGTCACATCAGGGTACCAATGAGTTATCCCGGACACTCCCGCACGGCTTCGGCGGCCGATACACCTTCCGCACTCGCCGCGCCCATAAGTCTCTGGGGCGTGTGAAGAGGTGGAGTACGGTCAAGACTCGGCAGTGAAAACAATTTGGGGTTCAGGAGTGGCCGTGCTCCGTGCTCTGCGGCCCGTTCCTCGGATCTGCGTCGGGGAATCTGTTCGGAAAAGGTCCGCCGTCCCGAGGTCAGCGGCCACCCCACGGTAGCACGCTGATTGTGGCGGGGTCTGGAGGAGGACGGCGGAGGCTCAGTCCATACTAAGCAAGTCCACACGGAGTGCTCGGCCTCCGTACGGGCTTGCTCCGTCTGGACTCAGGAGAGGCTCGGTCCATACGGGGCAACTTCAAGTCCATACGAGGGAATTGCTCGGTCTCCGTATGGGCTTACTCCGTCTGGACTTAGACGCTCCTGATGGCGGGGGAGCAGCAGGTCCTTTGGACACACCTCGGCGTCACCCCAACATACTAAGACTATGTGAGCGTCGCCCCCCCCCCAAGGGGCGACGCGCGCACCGAGAAATCTCACAGTATCTGCGTCGTGGCGGGCTCTTTCTGGCCACACCGCTCGGGAAACAAGAATTCTATTAGAAGATGGGTGAGCCATGTGTTCCGGTCGGGCACGCGCCTCTAAGAATGACATGTAGTATTAATATGTCTCTGTGCGTTTCAAGGAGCAGGTCCCTTTGACTCACCAGCCGGGCCTCTCCGGGCGCGCAGGTTGTCAAGGGCTTAAAAAACGCCCCTGCCCTGGTTTACGAGGCGCTGTGCGCCGAACCTCCTGTGGGCTGACAGGGTAAACGCTGCGTTTCGCGCGCGTCGCGCGGCGTCCTGGCGGCTCTCTGGCCTTTGGGAGCGCCCAGGAGGTCTACAGACCACGCACTCGTGACCCGGGGACCTTGTTCGTGGCATTTCAGGTCCCGTGCCAGATGGGATACCCCAGACAGTTGTCGGTGCGGAGCATCACGCGGCATGCATGTTTGAGCGACATCTTGAAGAGGATGCTGTTTCAGACGGCGTGCCGAATGCCGTGCCCGAATTTGCCCCTCTCTTGTCGGACGGTTCCGCAGTCGAATCGCCCAGGGTGGGGGCGGTGCGTCATCCCTCAAAGGTCGGGGCCCGCGCGCGCGCGGACCACGCTAACCCCGAGGGCTCGACAGCGGGGTCCTTTCGGCGCGCCGCGCCCGCGCCTCCCGCGCCGCCGCCATGGAAGACACGAGGTCCTGCAGGTCCGACGACGGAGAGCAGGGACACCGGCAGGGGGCCAGCGAGCAGAGGCGTGCATTCTATGTTCGGAGAAGAAACAACGGCATGAGCATACAGTCGGGGCCCTGAAGAAGGGGCCCTTTTGGTTGGGGAGGGGCTCCGCGTTCCTTGATTGTTTCACAGCTTGCCTCAGGGTTTTCCTTGTGTTTTCGATGGGACATCGAAGTTTAACTTATGGAAAAAAGGGGCCTTGTTCCTTATTTAGGGTTCCTTACTTAGGTCAACGCCCCGACTGTACTTTCGGAGAAGAAACAACGGCATAAGCATAATCTTTTGGCGCTCCACGCGGAGTTCTTGGATCCGCACTGGGGCCCCCCAGCACCGCCTCCGGCGCCGCCCCTGGCGCGCTCCGCGCGCCAGGGAGGAAGGTCCGGCGCAGGTCCAAGAAATGCGCGCTGAGCGCCAAACGTTGAGGTTTATGGCGTGCATTTACCCGTCAGTCGTTGAAAGCAAGTGTTCTTGGATTCCCAGATCCCAGATCCCAGTCTGCTTTGGAAGCTCCTTCCTGCTTCAAGAATCGATCTACGTCTGGTGCTCTTGTTATTGTTTGAGCGAGCCCGAACCCAATCTATTGTATCCGCCTCCCTACAGTCCGACCTAGGCCAGACGAGCATCCTCCAAGAACGTGAGACCGTCCGTCGGCCAAAACACGCAGAACATCCGAGGGCACCCTGCCCGGGATGCAGAAGAACATCCAACAGGCACGAAGGTCATCAGGGCACGCTCCCAGAGCTGGCCTCGCGATCCTACGCCTCGGCCCGACTCTGCTGCACATGTGTGTTGCCTGCGTCTTCCGGCTGGCGGCTGCGCACTCGGGGATGCCCCGCGCGGCACGAGCGGCTGCCACCCAGCGCAGGCTGGCGGAAGCCTCTTCCACGGATCGAGAGGCTCAGCCACGCGCAGAGGGGGGTGCCCTTCCCTTCCCTCCCTTCTCTCCCTTCTCCCTGAGCCAGGCTCAGGAGCACTCCCCTCCCTTCTCAGAAGGCGCGGGTGCCCCTTCCAGGGAGCTTGTGGCTGCTTCTCTTGAGGCTGTCCTCGGCGTGCTTGAAGAAGCAGGTGGTTTGCTCCTACGAAGCTGTCCTTCTTCTAAGTAGCAGTTCCGTGTTTCTGAGAAGGCGCTGGGGTGCTTCTAGGAGGCGGCGCCCCCCTGGCTTCTTAGCAGGGTGGCCGGCGGCTTCGGAGTGGCAGCCGCCCTCTGAGAAGCCTTCCCCCCCCCTCTCTCTACCCCTTTTGTGCGCGCCGCCAAGAGACGGGGGTCAATGCAAACTCACCAGAGACAAAAGTACCACGGCCACCAGCTAGGGCAGTGGCTGTCCCACCCTCTCGACCTCCAGAGAGTTCCCAGAAGGAGGTGCCACCAGCTCGAGGGGAGGGAGCGGCCACCCCCCTAGCTGGTGGTAGTGGTACCGTTGTCTCTCCTGACAAACGGGAGTTTAGTCCGAGCGCCGGATCTTGCAGGAATCTGCAGGGCCAGAGGGGTGCACCGACCCGGGCTTGGGCGCGCAGGATCCTGCAGGATGGTTTAGGGTTTTGCAAGGCCTGGCTGACTCGGGTCTGGGCTGACCTGGGTCAGCGGATCCCCGACGCTTTCTGACGAGTGCGACCTGGATTTTGACGGCCCAGCTTTCGTAGGATGTCTGTCGCGAAAGCTCGCGTCAGATGTTAGATTGGGCTGCGTCGCTTTCATGATGGCCCCGCCAGGCCACCCCGAGTCACCCGTACAGTGAGCGGCTTGATTAAGGAACACTTATTTTTCAAAAGGGGCTCGGTCGTTACTTAAGGCTTGCATGCGTTACGTATCCTTCCTTATGCGTGTTCTTTTATTATGTATCGTTCCTTATGCTTTTTTCCTTGGAAAACAGGGGTTTCGTTCCTTATGTATCGTTCCCTAGGTCAGGCCGATGACTGTACCCGAGCCTCACGTCTCCCCGAATGCTGGTGGCCTATGAGAGGGGGACCAGTGGCCCCAGGGAGGGCCACGTCGACCCCACAGCCGCCCCTTCTTCGCCCACCGACCTGCGCCTGGGTACAGTCGGGGCGCTGAAGAAGGAGCCCTTCTCGTTGGGGAGGGGCTCGGTGTTCCTTAGTTGTTTTGCAGTGCTCCTTGGGTTTCCCTGAGATTTTCCAGGGAAAATCGGAGTTGAGCTTGTGGGAAAAAGGGGCCTCGTTCCTTATTTAGGGTTCTTTAGGTCAACGCCCCAACTGTATTGGCATCGCTCGGACGTGCGCAGTTTTTATTGGCGAGGACAATCGTCGGAGGGAGGAGAGGCGACACCACCACCAGGGGGGGGCCACCTCCAGCGAGGGGGTGCACGATGCCTCCCCGAGCTGGAGGCTGGGGATGTCTCGAGCGAGAGTCGGGGACCACACCACCAGGGAGACCCTCCTCGCTCTTCGCGTCTCCTCGCCCTGGTGGTGTTGGTGCCGCCCTTCCCGGCTCCTGAATCGATGAGCAGCCTGGACAATCTTGCGGAGAATGAGCGCTCTCGAAGCCGAAAAATGCACGGGGAATGGACGTCCGAGCGATGGCAGGAGGTTCGGGGTTGACCCAAAAGGGGGTCCAGCGACCAGGGGGTGGTGCAATAGATTTGGTGCAATAGATTCGTGGGTTTGCAATACATTTGGGGCGTGCAATACATTCCGTGGCGCACTTGTATTGCTGGACTTTCGTGCAACACATTACTTGCCATACAATGCCATGCAGTTCTCCGGCGCAGTGCATTTGCAAGACGAGTGCCCCGAATCTACTGCACCGCCCCCTTTCAGCTGGACCCCCTTTTGGGTCACCCAAAGAGGTGCCCCCCTCCGCCCAAAAAGCGTGCTGTCTCGCCATGGCGGGCCCACCGCCGACTCGTCACCGCGACGCAGCGCCCGCGGCCGAGTCGGCGTGTGTCCCCCCCCCCCGGAGCCAAGTCGCCCCTGCCCGGCAGCGGAGGAGCGGGCGCTTGCGTACACACCGATCGCTGGAGGCAGGTATTCCTCGACCTCCCAGATCCCAGCCTACTCGTGGGCGCCTTCCCACTTCGGGGTCGAGCGGTTTTCCTTGCTCCCTCCTCTTCAGGGGGCGGGCGGAGGCCCAAGCTGCCTTCAAGGCTTTTCTGCTGCACGCTTCTGCCCACCTGTCCCGGCCGACGTGTACACCTGTCCACGTCGGCCCCGAGAGTGCGCATCGCGCGAGCGATTCTGACACGAGGCTGAGACTGGCCTCTGGCACACTGGGGTCCGCATCTAGTCACACGTCCAGGGTCGTGCATTCTCTGTGGGCTATCCCTGCCTGTCGCTCCCCCTCAAGGAGATGACGACGCCGGCGACGCGTGGGAGGATGACGGCCCCCGCGGCTGGGTGGAGGCCCTCGGATGGATGAAGGCGGCACCGCGACTCCCTCCCTCCGCGTCGCACTGTTGGCGCGGGCACGTGCGGCGCGTGTTTTCCGCGTCCCGTGCAAGGAGCTGGATGAGCACAAGGAGCATGAGACGGACATGCGAGATACTGATGATGATGATGATGATGATGATGATGATGATGATGATGATGATGATGATGATGATGATGATGATGATATTGATGATGATGATGATGATGATGATGATGATGATGATGATGATGATATTGATGATGGTGCTGATGAGGATAATGGAAATGATCCTGCTGATGGTTGTACTGATGATGCTGATGCTGATGATTATGATGATGGTGATGGTGCTGATGACGATGACGATGATGATGTGGATGCTGATGACGGTGCTGATGATGATGCGGATGTTGATGCTGATGATGATGATGTGGCGAGGATGACGACGACCACGACGATACCGATGATGATGTTGTTGATGGTGATGATGGTGATGGTGGTGATGATGATGATGATAAGGAAGAGGATGATCCACATGACGATGATTGTGTTTTGGTGGAAATGATGATGTGATGGTGATGATGGTGACGGTGATGGTGATGATGGTGATGGTGGTGTTGATGATGGTGATAGTGGTGATGATGATGATGATGATGATGATGATGATGATGATGATGGCGATGAAGGTGATGGCGATGCTGAGGCTGATGGTGATGACGATGGTACTGATGATAGTGATGGTGGTTATGATGATGGTAGTGGTGATGCTGGTAATGACGAAGTTGGCGATGGTGATGGTGATGGTGGCGACGACGACGACAACGATTTGGTTGGTGATGATGGCGATGGTGATGGTGATGGACGGGGATTGCGAAGGAGTGAGTCGAGGGAGTAGGGACGAGGGATGAGGACGAGGAGGACGAGGGACAGTGTGCGTGCGTTGCTGCTTGAATTTCCACACGCACCTTGGGCTGCTTATGCACGCGCGTCACGGCTCACCTAAAGAATGTCTCGCCGACGCCATGGCCGTCCTACGGCTTGTGTTCGGTGAGCGCGCAACTGGTTGGAAGGAATCGGGTGCTGAAGCTGCCGAAGGATGCAGCACGACGGTCCGCAGAGTTTCGTGCAGCGCGGTGGTTCTTGAAGGGGCGAGCACCCCCCCCCTTCGCATCCGGCGGCGCTCCCCCCTCGGGCGCTGGGCGCCCTGGGCCTGGGGTTAAGCTGGGCCTGTCCCTCTACAAGAGGAGTATGCAAAAATACTTTGATTAAATAGTCTGGGCACTATGATTTGTGTTTTTGTTTGGCCATTTTGGAGCATCTTTTTAGTATTTTTCATTTTTCGTCGAAAATCCTCCTGTTTGTACTTTCCCCTCCCAGCGCCCCGGCACCAAACACATACTTCGTACAGGTGCCGCCGCCCCGCGTGCCAGGGGCGGTGCTCAGGATTTTTGCTGGAGCGCTCCAGCCTCTTTGCTGGGAGGGGTGCATCTGTTTCGTCTCTGGATCCGTCGGTCCTGTATAATAAGGATCAGGGCCGCCTTTATGATGGTGTGAAGTGCCCTGTGAATTTGCACGCCGGTTGTTGAAAGTAGGTATTTTTGGATTTCCAGATCCCAATCTACTTCGAGCGCCTTCCTACTTCAAGAATCGACACGCTCTTGTTGTGTTTTGTTATTCTCTGGGAGGACCTGGACCCAATCCACTATATCCGCCTTCCTACTTCCTGTTTCTACCTACTTCTTCCGACCGACGTGTAAATCCTGTCAGGGAACCCACCCCCAAGTGAAATTCCAGGGGGGTCGCAGGGTGTCGAGGAGTGACGAGGCGCCTTGGGACATGTACGCGAGGCCGCCATCCGAGTGGAAGCAGCTTGAGCTCGACAACGCGTGCCTGCGTGCGGTAATGACGCTGGCGTGCGGTTGCGCTCCTGCTGGTTTGGCGACCTTGGTTATTTTGAGTGCCTCCGCCTTGCACGATCATCAGCCCAGTGTTTGGAGAGTCCCCCAGGTGGGGTTCCTACGTTCGCTGTCGGCCGTGTCTCCGTCTCTCTCGTCGAGCGTGGCTCCTTCCAGGAAGCGTCAGTGCCTTTGTCTGAACGTGGAGCCTTCACTTGCACCACCTGGTTGCAGTCAGGAGCCTTTCCATCTTGCTGCGATCTTGGCCTCAGGGGTCTCGTCACGCTGCGTCTCCATGCCACTTGGAGATGCATGGCTTGAGACCAACATTGCCCATCTGCTTGCGCCACCCGATCCTTTCGGCGAGGGCTCATGTCGGCCGTGCTGCTCCTCTCTAACCCCTGTCGGCTTGCTGCCTCTCTGTGCACCGCTGTTGCACGCATGGACGCCATAGGCGCGCTTCTCCAAGGCCGTAGGAAAAAGAGGGAGGATGCAGCAGGGGCAACAGCAAGCCGCGGCAGGAAACGCAGAGCCACCTCACTTCGCCTGGAGGCACTCGTGCAATTGGTGCCGCGGGGAGGAAGCCCCTGGGTCGATTTACCCGCCCTGGTAGTAGCAGGAAGCTGGTGAAGCATGATGGGCGCGGCTGGCCTGGGCGACTGTTGGGTACACGCGAGGCCAAACGCTTTTTGTTCAGCGCTCTCGGCCCCATCTGCGTGCAGGCCGATTCTCAACGCACTTTTTTACACAGTCGAGGTTGATTAGTAGGTCGACCCTGCCAGTTCAAGGGTACCTTTGTGTCCAGCGCCTCGCGCCCCATGCTTCTACGTCCAAGTGGCAACGTGGCCCTCGGAAGAGTCTTGTGTCCTCTCGCGTGCCATCTTCAGTCCACCCCGATTGTATCCAGCCCGTGGCCACCTGATGCTCCACTTGCGCATCCTGTCCTGAGCGCGTCCCGCCTCCTGGGGTAGCACGCCGTCGCCATTGCCAAGCAGCCGCCGCAAAAGGCCCGTCCCCGAACGCTGTTTTTGGCCAGCTCTCCGCGAGGCGCGGCGGGGCGGAGCGCGGCGAGGGGGGCCCCGAGAGGAGGCCCCTAAAGGGGGGAACTGTTGGCAGAACCCTGAATCCCCTCCTCCTCCTCCTCCTCCTCCTCCTCCTCCTCCTCCTCCTCCTCCTCCTCCTCCTCCTCCTCCTCCCCCTCCCCCTCCCCCTCCCCCTCCTCCTCCCAAGTTGCGCGTGGCTCCCCCGGAGCGTCGGCGTCGGGGGCGGCCGAGGAGGCGCGGCCGGCCCCTCGGACCCCTCGGGCTGGAAGGCCAGGCGCCGCCGCGCAGCAAGCCACGCTGGGCGGCGCTCGGCCTTCTCGCCCCCGCCCCTCCTACGGCCGCCCCTCCCGGCACCCCCGCCCCGGCAGGGCTGCGAGATGCAGCGGCGGCTCAGCTTCCGGGAGTGGGTGGACAGCGCGAGGGCGCTGCTGGCCGAGCAGAAGCTGCAGCTGAAGAGGAGCCGCGGCGCACACGGCGTGCCGTGGAGGAGCGGCAGGAGCAGGAGGCCAGAGGAAACGGAAGATGACCAGGCACATGTGGTGGAGAGAAGGATGGGGAGCAGCCGCACAACATAGAAGAGAAGGGGGAGAGGAGATACAACACAACACAAACCGGAATATGGAGGAAATGTGATGAGTGGGTATGAAGAGCGTTGGTACCCAACTTCTGCCGTATTGGCTTGTCCAGCGTTCGTTCCAGTCGCCTTCCAGGAGGTATTCTCAACACAGTTGAGGCTTATGCTCCAAATTCAGAGAACGATCGAGGTCTACGCCGAGCCGTCTTTGACTTACTTGGAGCCTCGTGGCCTGAGCATGGCAACCATGCGTGCACCTTCGTTTTAGGTGACTTCAACGCGACATGTTCCCGACGCGAGGCCGTAGACAAAAAATGTATGGGGATAGGTCGTGGTAAAAGCCTCATGGCCAAAGAACTGACGCGATCTTTACGCAGAGATTATGATTTAAACTTGCAAGACTGCGGAGATTGTCGTCGCAAACACAAGCCCCGCGCACGAAGTGAACCATTTGGCTACACACAGCAGATGATGCGAATAGAGGGTTTACTCAATCGACCAGTGTTTTGTACATGGCCCGGCTACGCAATACATTGAACCTGCTTGCTCACTGCCAGGAACATGGCCTGCAAGACCACAGTGTGGATAACTAGCGAATTTGTTGCAAAGGAAAAATAAGGATCCGTGAAACAAGGCGTAACGACTTGGCGACCTTGCTAGACGAGCGGGTTCGAGACGGATCATGGCGAGCTGTTCGTGCTCCTCGCGTAGGAAAAGCAAAGCGACCGACTGAAATCAAGGACCTTGTTGGGAGGTGAATGGGGGTAAACCAACGTAGATACATAGTTTGTCGACTTTTCCAAAAACGCGCAATCGACGATTACAAACGCTAGCTCCCGGCCAAGCAATACCGACCCAATCCGATACGTGCTCCCTATCGACACGAACGCGTTCCAATGGAGGAATTTCAAAATGCCCCCAAACGACGATCCGTTTGGAAAGCAGCTGGTAAAGATGAACTACCACCAGAGTTTTGCAAATTTCTTCCGGGTCGCACGGAAGCGCTGGAGCCATTGCTAGCATTGCGTCGGACATGCTGTTGGACGGGCGACATTCCGCAGGAAAACTACAGACCCATAGGTTTGCTGCCTGTGGGACACAAGATCGTAGCACCTACGGTATAAGAACAATTTCCCGTCGGGGGATACAGGCGCAAGCGCCATTTGGCTTCATGTCGCGACGGAGTACAGTGCAAGCTTTCTCCATTGCGAGCCGGATGTTCGACGCTGCGCACCTGACGGCGTCATCTCGGTGGTTGCTCATTTTGTTGGGCTGGGCCAAAGCCTCCGACAAAATAAGCAACGATATTCCCATTGAGGCGGTGCGCAGATTTGGCGTCCTGGGGCGGGCGTTTGATTTCACAGCTGGTATATATGCCGAGCGGGATTCTGGTTTCAAGGATGGCGGGGGTGATTCAGCTCGACGACAACAGCGTGCTGGCATTGCTCATGGGTGCCCGCTGTCTCGCCACGTGTTCATGATTTGTGCAATCGGTGTTCCTCGACATTGACGCAGTGCGCCGGGGAAGGGGGCTCTGTCCAGGGGCCGCCGCGCGTGGCGCGCTCCGTATTGTCGCGCGCCGACGACGCCGTGCTCGTAAGCAGCAATGCAGAACAATTGAATTCAAACTCTCCGTAAAAGCTGTCATCGACGAAGGTTCGCGCCACGGTCAGGAACTCGACTGGCGCAAGAGGGCTGCGAATGGCACTGGCCACGGCTACGTGCTCCCCGCCAGAGGCGCTGTGACAACAGGTTGACACAGTTGCGCATTTGGAAGGGTCCGTCGGCGTCGCGCGCGTTGGCAAAACCAGATTTGACGCGCAGAACTGGCGAATCCACGCGCATGTCGGGCACGTGCAACTGCCGCGCGAGTTTGAACAAATGCAGCTCTGAGAAGCAATCGCTGCGCCAGGATGGATGCGCACTTTGGAATCACTCTGGTTACTTCAAGCGAACGAGCGAAAACCGATTGATTCCGCGCGCGCCAGCTTCGGAAAATCCGACCCACGCCGCCTGCATTTGTTTTGTCGCATTTCGAGCACGACAGCAGTGGGAAGAAGTCGCGAAGCGGTGCTGAGCGCTGAGCACTGCGCTTCGCGCGAAGCAATGTGCACCGCGCCGTAAACTTGCGCCCCTTCCCGGAGGATTGCTGCTCGCGAGCGCCTGCGCGCGAGCCGCGCGCAAGCGAGCCTCGGGGCCCGCTGCGGCCATGGGCTGCTTGCGTCCGCGAGCAATGCCATCGGCCTTGGCGCGAGTGTTTATGGGTGCATCACGAGGCATCTGAGCTGTGCTGAGGCAGCGCGCTGCCGGGGGCCTCCCAGGGGACATTCTGCGAGTCTCAGTCGAGCGAGGCTCTGTCATAACATCGAATATCGCACCGCTCGTGCTCGGCTCAATTAACGGCCCCGCGAGGTGGGAGGTCGCAGCGCGTCTTATCATTTTCCGGGGGGGGGGGGGGGGGCGGTTCGTTGTTTCCTGCGTTCCATGTGCAAACACACCGTAAAATCCGAATTTTCATTGGCAGGTTTTCTGGCGGGGCATTCCAGCCACTCGCCCCCGCCCCCTCTCTCGCCCTTCCCCTCCCGCCGCCCCTGGGCGAACGTTCCGCGCAGTGCTCTGCGGCCTGCCAGTGCGCCGTGTAGGCGCCAGGGGTGGCTGAGTGACGTTGCCCCGCATCTGCTTCGCGCCGCCGCTGCCCCTCGCGCGCCGCCGGCGCGCCCCCCGCGGGCAGCGGGGGGCGGGTTCCAGGACAGACAACTTGGCCCAATCGCCGCCGCATCCCCGCTTTTTTTTCCCATTTCGGATCGCGCTACAGGGCGGGGGCCGAAGCGCGGCGGCGCGCCTTCGAGCGCTTTGGCGGGGAGCAGTCTCGCGCGTTTTTCTCGTCGCCGGACGTCGAGGCCAGCGCGGAGGCGAACGAGTTCCAGGGGCTGTCAGGCGAAGACATAAACGCGGGTTTCGAGCGCATCCTGAGGAACGCGTT